CATGTTGGAATAGCCTCTCCAAAAAGGAAATTATTTAGCTTTTCCTAATGATGGTCAGATTCATCAGCTCTTCTCTGGAAATTTCTGTCATGGCTACTGTGCCTGCAAATAAGAAATTAGTAGGGAAAAACTCCTGTGAACTTTACTTTCTGTGGATGTACAGTTGCACTTACTGCACCAAGAAAAACGTACCATGATGCTTTATTTTCTGTTTTTTGGAAGGGGATGAAGGTGTAAAAGGAGATAGAGGAGAAGTGGGCAAACAAGGAAAGGTTGGACCAAAAGGACCCAAAGGTATTTATGATGGTTTGTTGGCTATTACTGATATATTAATATCATTACACACAACTGTACTGGTGCATATGATCGGTGATCTTTAATGCTTTGCATTCCTGTTGCACCAGTGGATTTCACAATCCTGTCAAACATTAATCAGTGAACCTAACACTACTCACAGAGGTTGTTGTAATTCCTACTGACATGTAAGACAGCTATATATGGCAATAAATCAAAAGAGTCATGTAACAAACCAGTACATTTACTACTGCTCTCCCAAGTAGCTGTCGTAAGGTCATAAGCACAATCTAGAAGACCCAAATCATATGTATAACGAGGAGGAGTACTATTCTTTTAATGACATGATCCTTTAGTTGAAACTGAATTTTGAGAGTTATTTCCTAGTAATAGGAAGTCAGGATGCCCCACAAAATCCAGTCTCAGTTGTCCCTGTTTTGCAGAAAGGCAAGAGGAGACATACACTAAGAAACAGTGCTGCCTCTGATCAAACACCACCTGAGCTGAGCACAAGGAGCCGTGGATGTCTCGGGGTTTGGCTCTGTTAAACATATCCTATAACCATAGTGTGAGCTGGGCAGAGCATACAGAGGCACCAGATGTGTCATGCCTTGCTTGCATGATCTAATTAAAAAGCTTAATTTATCATTAGTTTAATGATAATGCATATCCATGGTCTTTCTTCGGTGGTTTAAGACTAATCAGGAAAGTTTTTACTTTTACAGAAACTTTAAAATCACCCTGTTATTATTGTCAAAATAAAGAAGCCTTTTCCATTTTTAAATACATTTATATGGTTTTGCTTCTTACCTTAAAGAGAAGATAAGGTAAAATACAAGGGAATCGGTAACAATTTCCGAAGCGTCTTAGTGATGTTAAATTCAGTGTGGAAACTGATATTCCGCTAAACTGGGCTGTCATCGGGTGCTCTGAGGATTGGGAAAGCACACACAGCAAAACTAGTACCTTCCTGTTCGCAGTCCTGCTTTGAGAAGGACTCCCAGCAAAGCCACAGGGACTTCACAAGGAAGAAAGAAAGGGTTTTGTCTGGCATGGAGAAAAAGAACACCAAATAAAACCTGCCATCAGCCTTGTTTGGCTGTGAAGTAAAATCAGTATTTTACTGATTTTATTTGAATACTCACTAGCAGTTTTAGTTTGTATTTTCTGTAAGGAAACATGATGTTTCTGCACATTTCAACAGGCAGTTCTAGTAAGGTGCCTTGCAATCTCCTACTGTTGTATGCTGTAGTAGCAGAAATCTGTGCTGTCCTCTGCCAACCATCCTCTGGGCTTCACTCGTTTTGACTTTGCCATGCACGTGGACTAGCCAAGCTCAGGAAAAACAACAGCAGTGAGCCTTGGAAAGAAATGACAGAAATCATCGACACTCTTTTCCTCTTTATTTCTTCTCTCAGGAAACAAAGGACCTGTGGGGGATGCTGGTGACCAGGGAATGCTTGGGAAAATTGGCCCAATTGGTGGAAAGGGTAAGCTCTGGTGTGGGAACTTTCTTGTTTTTTTCCTCAAGGTAAATATGTGTTTTGTGAGAGTTCCAGCTATGGAGTAATATCAAATAACGGCTGAGACCAATGATCCCAACTGAAGTTATGCATAAAGATTGGTGACAAGAGGTAACTGAGATACTGCTTTATTTCCCATATGCAATATAAATGACTTACTTGGCTAAGATAATTTGTTTTATGAGTTAAGGAATCAATCCTCTTTAATGGTAAAAGAGGAAGGGAGAAATCAGGCTCTTGTGAAGTCTCTGAATGCTCTAAAAGAGAAAGCCAAATTTGTGCCTCTGCTTTGGACACTGAAGGCCTAAGTCAATACTCTGCTACTGCTCAGAATGCCACACCTTGTCACCTGCACTGCTGTGGGACATGTGAGCAAGCACAGGGTGGCTCAATAAGGAAAAGGATTTAGGAGTTTTAAGAAAGCACACAAGTAACCAGGGACAACAAGTACTTGCAAATCCAGGTAGGCTCCATGTCTAATTTCATGAAACTATTCTCTAGTTGTCTGAGAAGAACAGGCATTCCTAAAGAGCTACTTAGAAGGAATATAACTTCTGCTGCTAGGAGATCTGCCTTGAAAGCTGAGCAGGGACACCACAATCCCCAGTGGAATTCTGGTCTCTAACCAGCACATAGGGTAGAACCATCTCTCCCGGAGCTTTCCAAGCCAATGTTTTGATTAAACCTTTGATGACCTCTAGCCAGCCATGTATCAGAGAAGAACAAAAGAATTTGGCCAGAAGGACTAATTTTCAGAAGTGCCTAGATGGCTATCTCCTAAAGTTGTCTTCAGTCACCAAAGGAGACTAGAACTTAAGAATCCCACAAATTACTTATCTTTATCTGTAAGTAAACCAATGCTCTGAGCCTTTAAATCAAGCTCACTCTTAACCTGAATGTACAATTTATTTGCCCCTTTTAGTTTTTCTCATTTTCTTTATTTACAGAAGCAAAGGTCACTAAGTCACTGTTTAAATCTACCATGAAACATTCAAGTTCTTAATGAAGCAACTCTGAAATTTCAGCTTGTAAGTGTGCAGTGTCAAGAAATGCTCATTAAAATCATAGCCAACTCCTAATTCATTTTACACAACCATATAAAGGAAAAAATAGCAAAACATGTCCAGCAACAGGGCAGAGCAAGTACTTGTATTTTTTGGCCTCTGAAGGTTTTAGTTCGTAAAAGAAGAGCTGACGTGAATTTCAGATAAAGTCCAGCTGCTCCTGATCCAAATTACAGCTGAGGTTTTTTAAAAAGCTAGTCACCTCCACTTACATAGTAGCACAGCATTTGGAGAAGTATTTCTATCATTCCTATGATTTACAGAAGACACAAGCAATTGGATGAAAATAAGTCACATTTCCATGGACTATAGCTGATATGAAATGCTGCTCCTTACTGACCTCATTTTGTGCAGGTGCTAAATGCTGCCTGCACACATAAAGTGTTGCATACATGAATTCAGTTGCTTAGTGCACATCAGCTTCTGGTGCCTCATCCCATCATGGAGGGCCTCTGTCCTGCAAGGCAATGTGAGAAACCAGGTCTCACCTCTCGCAGATTTCATGAGTGCTTTCAACCTCTCAGGATCATTCTGCAGTTTATGTTCAAAGTAAGTGGCACCAGGAGCCAGCAGCACACAAGGTGCCTGTGTTATCAGTGGGTTAGCTATTAAATGGTTCTCTTTATTTCCATACACCAGAATTTATCACAATTTATTTGACTTGGCACATCTGCCGGTACAGTACATCAGCGCTTCCTATCAAAAGCACACCGTTAATGTATTATTAAACAGGTTTTTCAAATACTCTCCCCTGACATGTGCACTGTCTGAGATCTGAGACTGTATTTTCCTCTTTGTTCAGGTGACAAAGGAGCCAAAGGCTTATCAGGGGTTTCTGGAAAAAAGGGAAAAGCAGGTAAGCTGTGCATCCTCCTCTGCACAATGGTCAAGTCTGCTGGGTCTTTGATTGCAGGGTTGTTTTTTCTAGAGTTTCATAAAGTTTTAGGCCCATGGAAAAACTTGAGAATAGATGAAATGAACAGGAAGAGATTGAAAAAGTTTTGTTTAGAAAAATGAAGGCTTGGGTAGGGACCTGACTGATACCTACGAATATACCAACATAGAGAAACATGCAGAAGAGTAACCTAAATTCATGGGCAATGTTTGATATCACAAAACCTAACACATAGACAGGCCAAAGGTACATTTATACTGGAAACCAGAAGAAAGTTTCTGAATACCAAAGGAATTAAGTCCTAATTCTATTAAGGATTCATATTAATACATATTAGTTATTCTATTAATTTTCCTAATAGGAGCATGGGGATGAAAAGAATAAGTAATTTTAGATATAGCATAATCTGTTGTCAAATAAATGCAATGCATTTGCTCACAGGAGGAGAATTTGGATCTGATGACCCAGAAAATTCTGTTCAGTCCTAATAACCTTGACTGGTTTTCCACCTTGAATGTACACTTGTGTTAATTTTTAAGAGATTTCATATGCAATGCCAGTTTGGTTCTTAATGTGAAATCATCAGCAACTTTTTTCCCCTCAGAATAACAGAGGAACAAACATAAACCTATACCAAGCCAAAATTCAGTTTATCAATGAAAATATAACTGAGACTTCAGTGCTTGAAAGCTGTTGAGTTGGTATAGACTATTACTGCTGGACCACAGCTGCATCCAGCAATTAGACTAACAGAGTCCTTCTACCAAAGTTTACCAGTCCCACCTCTATGCATGCTCACAAAACTCATTCACTGAGAAAGCAACAGTTCCCCATTTCATGGATGCTGATCTTTCTGTTAGAAGGCTGGGGAACCTGTACTATTTACAGATACAAGGTAGACCACTGTCATTCAGATGTGATTACCACAACAAGCTACATCTCTGCAGCTAGATGAAATCAAAAATGAGAAGGGCAGTGGATATGCAAATCCCACACTGATATGGGTGGAAAGAAGATGGCAAACTTTTCTATCCACACTTTTAATAGTAGGGATTCTTAAGCCAGTTAGCAAGAGAGTGTACAAAGCCACAATATAAAGCTCTTTGATCAACAGAACTATGGCCAGTGGGGCAGGATGGGACTGGCTCTCCACAAGTGGAGCCAAGTCTTCAGAAAGTTTGGAAGTGGGCTATAAAGGACCCTCCACACACACACACACAAATTCTTCTAAACAGATAAATCCTCTATTTTTTTTTATTGCATCAGGCACAGTCTGTGACTGTGGAAGATACCGCAGAGTTGTTGGACAACTGAATATCAATGTTGCTCGTCTTAACACATCCATCAAGTTTTTAAAGAATGGTAAGGATCCTTATGTATTTGATATGATTTATTTGGCTCATTGCTATTCTTCCACCATTGCTGCTGTATGGCAGCATCCATAGATGATCTGGTGAGAGGGTTGCACTGTGTGAGGCACTCTGAAAACATATAGAAAAGAGACACCTGTAAGGATATCAGCAGCAGATGACCAAAAGCAACACATAAATTATCAACAGCATAACAGAAAGACTCATGAAAAGCACAAGGCAAAGCTTGCTAACCGCCTCTGCACTGTCAAACTGCTCAAGCTCTGCTGCCACACAGGCAATGAAAGAGAAAAGTTTGTGCCAATCTGCTCCAGAGAGGCAGGGAAAGCCATAGGAACCTACTGATCTTTCTGCTGTACAGGAAGGCTGCAGACATGGTGCCCTTAGTGCTTCCCTCATGCAAGCATCATTTTTCTGTAACAAAGGACCAACACTCAAAGGCACGGGTTATTGCCCAGGGAGGTTGTGAATGCTCCATCCCTGGCAGTGTTCAAGACCAGGTTGGAGGAGGCCTTGGGTGATATGATTTAGCATAAGGTATCCCTGCCCACGGCAGGGGGGTTGGAACTAGATGATCTTAAGGTCCTTTCCAACCCTAACTATTCTATGATTCTATGATTCTATAATACCTAAATACCAATGCCTAAATACCTAAAGGGGGCCTACAAGAAATCTAAAGAGGGACTTTTTACAAGGGTATGTAGTGATAGGACAAGGGGGAATGGCTTTAAACTGACAGAGGATAGCTTTAAATCAGACATTAGGAAGAAGTTCTTTACTGTGAGAGTGGTGAGACACTGGAAAAGGTGGCCCAGAGAAGCTGTGGATGTTCCATCCCTGGAAGTGTTCGAGGCATTGGATGGTGCTTTGAGCAACCTGATCTAGTGGAAGGTGTCCTGCCCGTGGCAGGGGAGTGGAAGCAGATGATCTTTAAGGTCACTTCTAACTCAAACCATTCTATGATTCTGGAAGAAGCCATGTCTGCAGGCAGTGCTGCCACATGGACAGTACAAACTGTTCCCACTGAAAGGAAGGAGGCACATTTCCTGGCATAACAGAGATTTTGAGAAGGCTCAACCACTCTTCTAGGACTAGGGCTCTACCAGTAAACTAAATGTGTTTGAGACGGTTCTCTGGCACTGTGGGCAACCAGCACAGAACAGCACTCATCTATATTACAAATCCTACAAAACTGAATACCATATTACCCAGAGTGTCCCTCTACTAACTAACTGACTGTACCTGGACTAAGTCCTGAATTGTTTGGGAAAGTATTAGTTATCCCAGGTCAAAGCTCTGCTCAGGACCATTCCTGATGGCTATCCATGACCAGGGACAATCAAGTTCCAGCTGCCCAGGCATGCTCCTTGGTACTGCTTAATTCACTAGGATACACACTGGTTGAGAAGTTTGGCTTTTAAAGCTGGTGAGCAGGCAGTTTTTGTCCAAGTCAAAGCCACTTAGTGGCTACAGAGCAGCTCTGAATATCAGGCTGTATTTAAATGTCTTATTTTAGCAGTCACATTGATTTTTGTCTACACAGAAAGGACTTGAAAAGCTATTTATACCCCTGTGTTTCTATCCCAGGGCACTCTTCCACAATCTTTATTCAAAAACATGCAGATCAGTGGGGATGATCCAGATTTGACCATTTAGCATGCCTTTATTTGATTAGTACTACATATCCAGGAAGTAAAGCTTAAGTGTCACAGGAGACATATGCCAATCAGGACTGAGTAGTTCTTGTCCTAATGTGTCCAAGGTGCTTGTCAGTCCCACTAGTAGCATCAACCTTTGATCGTGTCCTCATCATTTATTACAAACTCATCTGTGGGAAGACTTTTCCTCTCTCCCTTTTATTAATTCTAATGTAAAAATCATCTCATTGTCATACTGGAACAGAAGCACCTTCAATATCTGTTGACATGCCATTATGCAATTTTCTTCCCCTTTAAAGTTATAGCAGGCATCAGAGAGACAGATGAGAAATTCTATTACATCGTGAAAGAAGAGAAGAATTACAGAGAAGCCTTGATCCACTGCAGGGACAGAGGAGGAACACTGGCCATGCCTAAAGATGAGGCAACAAATGCCCTGATTGCTGACTACATCTCCAACAGTGGCCTCTTCCGAGCCTTCATTGGGCTGAATGATCTGGAGAAGGAAGGACAATTTGTGTATGCAGACAACAGCCCACTGCAGAACTACAGCAATTGGAAGGAAGGGGAGCCTCATGACCCAGCTGGCCGCAAGGACTGTGTGGAAATGCTCAGCACGGGAGAGTGGAATGACTCTGAGTGCCAAGTCACCATCTACTTCGTCTGTGAATTCCTCAAGAAGAGGAAATAAAAGTGCCACAGAATTCCTCTGGCACCTGCCGTGCATGCAATAATCCCTCCTTCTTCACCCACTGTAGGGAGAGCAGACAACCAGGGACAGGGCTCAGTCCAGCTTTCACCTCACTGGGTTAAGCAAGAGTAACTACTGTTAAGATGGCAGTGACTGTAAAGGCATGCAGGGAGCATCCAGCCAGTTGTGAATTCTGATTTCATTTCTATGTGCCATTTAGGGTGGGCATTTCTATGCATAATTTAGGGGCAAATTTAGAGCACACAGAGGTGAATATGAGCTCATTAATGCTAGGAATGGTAAACTCACTGGTATATTAATTACTGATGTGTTTCACAAAGCCCACAGAGAGAAAGAGTTGGGATTTTTACTTATCTCTGACCTCCATGGGAAATCCTTGCTATTTCCCTGATGACTTCAGAGCTGAGAGAACAGACCTGTTTATTTTTAGATCCTTTTTTTTTTTAGAATCATAGAATAATTGAAGTTGGAAGGGCTCTCTAGAGGTGATCTTGAATCTTCCATGCAAAGCAGGGCCAGCTTCAAACTTAGATTAAAAGTTGTTATGCTTTCCTTAATTTGGCGGTGCAATTATAGTGCCTCATATGCAGGGGAGGACTCACTTATTTCAGCTGCCAATTCTATCGTCTGTCAAGCTGGTCTGAGGTGTGAGAAATTAATTTAGCAATTGCACTTCTGCATGCAAGCCTGCACAGCTTGTAGGCAACCTAAGACTAGGTGGAGCAGTTCTAGTCTCCAGTCCCCCAAAATCTATGAAAAATATGGAGAAGTCTAGCACAAATTGAACAGCGCAAAGGAAGCAACACCATTGCTGCAGGCTGTAAACAGGCACATGTAGTATCAGCTATACCAGTGTGCACTCCTGGCTTAACAAATGCCTCTAGGAATGTTAACTCCCTAACTCAGTAGCCAGTAACATTTGATGCCTCACACTAAAATCACTCGTGCCTTTACAACACTGGAAGCAGCTATACAGGCTTTATCCCCCAAGAACCCAGATTCAGGTGTGATTGAACAACTTAGTCATGCACTTCAGCAGGACTCTTCACAGAACATGAGCAGCAAGCATGAAGGCTTTGCTGCCCAAGCCTGGCTACTCAGATCTCCATGTCAGTATGCCCACAATGGATCATATTTTCATGTCTTTCATATTTTCATACCGGGGAAGCTCTCTTCTTCAGGCACAGGCAACATTTTGCCTTCAGAAGTAAGCCTGCTCTTACTCATGGTTCACCTTTCTTTACAGCAGGAGGTGTCATGCCAGGGCCCCTGTAATGAAGTTCTATAAATTTTCTTTCCTACCTGACACTAAAAATGAAGGAATAATATCTGGAGGCTAAGAAGAATGCTAGACACTAAGCACAGTGCAGCAACATACCCTGCAGGGCACTCTGAGCACTGTCTGCATATGGTCTTCCTCTGTGTATATGAAGAGTTGGACATGCCATGAGCTATTAATGCAGAGGGGCAGCTCCAAGTCTCCCTTTTACTGCTGTGTACAGCACTGCAAAGACAAACAGACAACAGTCTACTTCCTCAACCGCACCCTCAACAGGAAAATCCTCCAAACCATTTAGCTGGTTGTTAGTTTGACTCCAAGCTCATATCTGAGCAATGACCAATGCAGGAGCATCCCAGCAGACTCAGTGACTCAGAACCACTCTTGCAATCCAGTTTCTCTGCCACTTGTTCCTCCAGAAAACCACCTATTGCTACGAGCAGTAAATTACCCATGTTGCCACACACCCTCCAGGGAACTATTCAGGCCCATGAATGAAGGGGTGAAACCACGATTCTTTTTATTGCTGCTCTACTATGCTATAAGAGTGTTTGGGCACATAGGTTCACTTAACACAACATAACTCATCCTGGATTGTTCCCTTCCTGAGAATCGATATTCCCTCAAATTAAGTAGAATTACACTTTTAAGGATCTATAATAATAAACTCATTAAACTAAACGCTTTGGTTTAAGTATCATTAATGGGTAATGATAAAGAATGAGTAATTCAAGAAAAGTTTCTTGAGGAAAAGTAATGCCTTTTAGAAGTTCAAGTGCAGGGCTGTAAGACTCACTTACAGTAGGTCAGTTCTTACGAGTCATACAGAAGTGCCAGAGTATCATCCCTGTGTGTAGGGACAATCACACTGATACACTCTCCACACCCCATCTTAACTTCTGACCCCAAAAGTCACCAATACATGCTTGCCAGACTGGGGGTCCAAATTCTGGAAACTTCTTGGCCATTCTGAGACCACTGGCTGACAGAATCCTTAATGCTACGCTCATCACGAGCTGCCCACTTTTCCATTCTTTTCAGAGGAAACTCAGGGCTGGGAGAAGGTGAGAGAGGACACCACTTTGCTGCAGGATCAAGCTCTGCCTGAGATTGGATCAGGCACTCTCTTTCACGTACAAAATCAGGGAATACATGTCTAAATTGAAACTCTGGTCTTCAGGAGACTGTGAGTTATAAGTAATCCCAGAGCATGCTCCATGTACGGGAAGGAATGATGGTCACAGTCTCTGGCTGTGGAAGCAAGAGAGGAACTCATGCTGAGTTTCTGCAATGGAAGGTCTAGAACTGCCCAGTTCCTCCGTCCTCCTCCTCTCTTACCACATCAGGTTAATCCTTTCTTAAATAGAAAAAATAAACAAAACCAACCCTTTTACCCACTAAATACTCACGTACAGTGGGCAGAGCCATACCAGTTGAAACAAGTAGACCTGCGGTGGCTGTTCCTTTGCTAACTATTGATGAGGAACAGTAGAGGAGCAGAGCAGTGTTCAAGCTAGCCAGGCGTAAGTATGATCAGGTGCTTGCACAACCCATTGCTGCAGCACGAGGTCCTAGTTAATAAATTTTGCCAAGAAGCCTAACTCATAGGCCAAGCCAAATAAAAAAGGCTATCCCACACAGGAAACCTGGCAGGTAGGTCCATACAGCTCTGCACCATGAAATGTGGAGACAAGCTTGAGCATGCACTGACTCAAGTATTATAGCTGTGTTTTGCAGGAAAAATATACTCATTATAATTAGGATTTGGGCTATCACTGCTCACCAATGGAAAATCACTGCGGTGGGTAAAGTACCTTAGGTTTCTCCAGGAAGTGGATGGAGCCACGAATACAGGAAACGGTGCCTGACTATTCAGGATTTATGGTCTGTTAGAGCCTGACACCTAAATCATTTTACCCAATGCCAGTATTATTTTTTCCCATGTTTTTCTTTTCATGATTCCCAGGCTGAACCTTTCTTGTTTCAATTTTTGCTTCTTGTCCTCCTACTAATTACCACTGCGAAGAGCCTGGCTTAACCTTCTGCTGCTATGAGATCCACCTGAAGCTGTTATCTTCTTCAGGCTGGACAAATCCAGTTCCTTTAGCTCTCCCTTACATGGCTGCAACTCCAACAATCATGAGGGCCATTGGCTGAACTTGGCTCCATTTTTTCAATGCTTTTCCTGTCCTGGGGGAGCTCAAAAGGACACAGTGGCTATATGTGGTCTAACAGGTGCTGAGCAGGAGCATAATCCCTTGCATCAAGCTCCTAGCTGCACTCCCTCCAGCAGAGTCAGGATGCTATTAGCCATCTTTGCTGACAGGACTCCCCAGGCCCTTCTCAGAAAAGCCAGTGGGCTCCAGCCTGTATTGGTGCAAGGGACCAGCATTCCCAGATGAGGGAAATTGCATTTGTCCTTGCTGAGTTTCATAAGGTTCCTGTTGGCCCATTCCTCTAGCCAGCCTAGGTCCTTCTGTATGGTAGCCCTGCCAACAGTATATCCACTGGTATGATTTACCATTGGTGAGATCCAATCTGAGTGTTGCCAATCACCACCTTCTCCTTCATAAGCCCAGAAATGTGCTCCAAGAGGACTTGCCCCTTTTAAGTTCCACGAGGACCACAATGACGCTGATCAGTTTATAGTTCCCTAAATAGTCTTTGGCATTTTCGAAGAAGGGTGCAACATTTACCTATTTCCAATCATTAGGAACCTTTCATGATCTCCATATCCTTTCCAATATGATAGAAGCCTTGCAGAGACATCAGACCAGTTTTCTTGGCACCTTGGATGTAGCCTGTCTGGTCACATGGAATCTTCTGGTCAGACTCTCGCAAGCTGTCTGACTAAACACTTATACTTCTTGTAGTTCTATTTGAACCCTTTCCCTAAGCACAGAGGAATGGGATAGCTTGTTGGTAAAGATGGCAAAGAAACTTTAGAATGCCTCAGCTTTACCTGTGTCTGATGCCCCTCCATAAAGCAGTGTTTCCACATTTTCCTTGCTCAGCCTTTTTATACTGACACTACAGTGGAAGCTCTTCTTATTACACTTCCTGTGCAAATCAAAACTGCATTTAAGTTTTGGATCTCCTGAGGCTACCCCTACAAACTCAGGCAGTGTTTCTAAATCATGCCACCATAGCCTGTCCCTGTTTCCACTTCCTCTATGCTGCCTTTTACATTGGAGCTCCACCAAGCTCTCTCTTTAGCCACACCAGTCTATTGATATACCTGCTTGCAACTGTACAGTGAACACAAGACAGCTACCTAAGATCTTGCTACACCCCTGTAGGAATACTTCAGAATGTTTCCTGCTCTCAGACAGCCAGGATTTTACAATCTGCTATATTCTGAAGATTGTCACCTCACACAGTGCAGGCATTATCATCTGGCTTTCCCCATGTTCAGAATGCACAGATACCTATAGTAAACAAAATGTTTTAAAAACTAATTCTAGTAAAAATGATCACAGAATCAATATGTACATTAAGAATATGATTTCCTCAAGCATTTCAAACAATTGCATATGGGCATTCAGCAGATCCACTTCTTTCATTGTCTTTAACATGTTCAATCACGTGAGAAAAACAAAGAAGTTAGCACCTAGAACAATGGAGCACCACATTTTTGACCACAGCCATGAGAATATATAGGCATCTCTAGTTTTACCCACAGTCTTCAACAGCACATTTAGTTGTAGTTCAAGTAGCTGAAATTGCTAGTAAGAAATGCAATTTGACACTGTGTATGATGATAAAAATAGTAAATGTGTCACAGAGAGAGGGATTAATTTATGGTTATTTGGAAAGTACTGCTCTAGATTGTCTTGCTTTAATAGTCTGCACAGGTACAAAAGCCATGGGTTGCCATCTCTTTTTTATTAAAGTCATACGTAACCTACTTAATGTGTAAGAAAGAACAAGCAAGATCAAAGCAGTAGCTTAATCTGGGTTGGTTTTATGCTTGCGTGGAAAGGGACAACAGCAAGTTGTAAAAGAATTCAGTGCCTACCTGCTGCATGCAACACCTCTGACGGCAGCCCTGGGGCCCCACCTTCCCTGGCCTGGGAAGGTTTCTCCACGTGGATGTTTCAACACAGGGAGGAAAAGTTTCACTTGATTTTCATTAGGTGGGTGGGACCAGGAACTTGCATCGCCCTTTTTTGCAGACAGCAGTAGCAGCCTAACAAAGCAGAGTCACTAACTACACAAAACCCTCTGTGGCTGGAAAGAGTGTGTGACCAGGTACATTTCTGAATCCCTAGGACCCTTAACATCCTCAGTGTTATACCTGTGCTTAAGCCTCATTGAAGTCCCTGCTAATCAAGTGCAGATCTACAGATGCTGGGGCAGTACAGGGGCTGTAGCTCCTCTCTGGTATGATGTAGCACAGCATGGGAGCATCTGCAGAGCCATGACCTTCTCATACAATGTAATTTCATCATATCTCTTCCCTTATGTTGCATTTGTCTTTGCTTATGTGCTTTACAAAACAGGTGTAACTTTTTTAAAGTAGCCAGACGTCAACGTCCTGGGTTCAGCAGGACAGTCAATTATTACCTGGGTTTTAATTGTTGCAGACATATTTCAAGACATACAAGTAATATCTTTTATGAAACAGATTTCAGTCATGAATTCTCTGTTCATTTTTTCTCCTTGCCAGATGTTTCAAGCTTTCGCTATCTTATTAACCTCTCAGCAGTGAACTGTCTAGCACGAGATGCCAATCTTTGCAACTTCATACAATAGAAGTCTTTATATCAGTTGCCCCACAACATTCCCTGAGCACGTGGGGCACTCTACCATGTGGCGGGTGGAAGGAGCAACAATGATGATCAGTCAGTCAGTAGAAGATTAAGTAAAACTGCAGAAAAATGTGAATGCAGAGTTGGCGGATGCTTAGCATGTGAGCTCAGGAATTTATTTCCCACTGTGAGCCAGTTTCTAGGTCTTGAAAATGCTTTAAAGCTTGTCAGAAGAAATCTAAAAGGTTGTCAGTAGATCCAAAAGGAAATCTCAATTCAATAGCTCAGGAATCCAGAGCTAACTGCAAGTTCACATAACCAAGAGAGTTTTCTCAGGACCTGAAGAAGCAGAAATACATTTTCTGCAAAACCATGGGCAATTACAAGCCTTTCTTTTCATTCCTGCTTTCTCAGAGTTGAACATTTTCCAGTGCAGATATATGCCAGTGGACCCATTAAAGTTGAAACACGAATGTATATGTGTGCCCTGCACTGTCTTCTCCTTGGACAGAACAGTGTGTGACAGATGGTAGTGACCACACATGCCATGCCATTTAAAGAGTCTCATAAAAGAGAAAATAAGAGAATAATAATAATAACAACAACAGCAGAAGAACCCTACATCAAAACTACCCAAGCAGCCATGACAGTTTGGGAAGCAGAGGAGGGACGGTTAAGGAATAGAGACAGGTACCCTTGCTTATCCTCCCCACTTGTTCTAATTACATATTAAATTATGAAGATTCAGGCTGTGATTCCTCCTAACACACCAGGATCTGATTTGTAACTTGGAGATGTCACACTGTGTATGTCAGTCCCTGTGTTCATCCCCTTTTGATTGTTGCAGATAGGTAAGTTTCTCTGTGCATGAGAAGGGTATTAGCCAGTTCCTATTCCAGTGAAGGTGAGGCTCACTAGAAAAGCTGGAAATGAGGACCAGGTGTGTGTATGGTCAGAAAAATATGGGAAGTAGAGGAGAGATTTGGAAAAGGTTGAAGAGAGACCCTCATAAACATAGCTCTTCTGCACTGGTTCATTCAGAAGACCAATTCCAGGGGAGGGAGCTGGACAAAGCCTTGTAGAAACACAGTGCAATCCTACACTGAAAAGATGTTTTCATTTTTTTGCTAATAAGGTTTAGCAAAAACCTGAAAATAAAGATTTTCTAGAGAAGAGCCAGACTGGGACATGCAAAGATGTCCCTGGAAGGAAAAAGTTTGTTTAGGTTTGAGGTAAAGTGTGCAATTCAGTACTGGGCACTCAAAATGTGAGGTAGACATGAATTTCCCTGATCTCTTCTACAACTGCTTCTGTGGGGCTGGAAGACAATCAGTTTAATGTGGGGAAAGCTGGAGAGATCTTTGTGTCTGCAATAGATCCAAGGAAGGAAGGTCTTTGCTTTGAGTTTACCTCATCAGAGACCACGTGAATCTGTGACTCAGCTTCAGAAACACCACTAGTACTACTGACAGATATGAGAGGCTGAAAAGCTCAGAAGTCTCTGGAAGGAAGTAGGGCAAAGTTGACACAGCTTCAGCCCTGGATGGGTTTGCTATAGGAACTTATTCTGCTAGGCTTTGATAGAAAGAAAAACACAGACTTGGAGGGCAAAGAAGAAGAGCATAACACCTTTCATTCACTATGTCAAACATGCCTGGAACCAAGTATGTATGTTTATGGCATACACAGTCTCTTCAGGTTACATGAAGTCACTCCCTTCACTCAACCAGCCAAAGATTTTGACTCATTTTAAGCACCCTTTATATTTACTTCCATATCACTGCAGAAAACACTGAACTAGTTTGGTCCAGGGATTTCTCTCACCTAATTCTAATTCTCTGCAAGGTAGATGTCCACATCAGGCCTGACCACCATAAAATTCCTTGGCAGTCAAGAAGCAGACACAAGTGATTCATATGATCTACTTTCAGATACATACTTCGGTACAAGACCAACTGCTCCTCAAAGGGGGGTTGGAACTAGGTGATCTTGAGGTCCTTTCCAACCCTAACTATTCTATGATTTCTATGTGGCTAAGGCTATTTCTTCTCTGTTTCTAGTGGGGACTCCGGTCAGGTAGCTCAGAGACATACATAGGCAATTGGTCAGCAGAATTCCACCCTGGTTTCTTTCACTGTGCACCAGAAACCCAAAAGGACTTCATGCAAGGTTAATTATTTCTTTCCAAGTATAACTAGATACATAAGTGTATGAACACAACATCAGTCCTGTACTACAAATTACATCTTCAAAGAACCCTATAAATGCTAACTACAGAGCAATTAGACTAACCTCTTAGTAAAATAATGCACAGAATACTGACCTATTTATTGTTTTGCTGTTGTGTAAAATTAATGAGCTGTGTTTTTTGACCACTGATTCATCCTTCTTCCAAATACTTGTGGATTAAAATTTAAGCTACTTAAATAGCTCCACAAAATTACTGGTAGGCAGAAAATGGCAAGGCAAGTATTTGAAATGCACTGCTACAGACTGTAAATATGCAGAAGGATATGTGAACGTGAGGTCCCATTCCCAACTGGATTCCAGAGTAAAAGAATAATATTTTTAAAGGTGCAGGGAGACTGCTGTTTTAAGTTTGCTTTTATTTTTTAATTATTGCCTTGTAAATTAACTATGGAATGTTCCTGATATCATCGTCCCTTTCCCACTCCTCATCCAGCATCTCTGAGAATGTGCAAGTCAACAGTGAAGAGTTATGTACGATACAGGATGGAAACACTACAAAAGAGAAGCATGTGCAAGAAGTGGAAAGATGTCAGGAAACAAAGCACTACTGAACACAAGAAACTATTTGCAGCTCTGAGTGAATTGAGTAAATTCTGTGGTTGTCACATTGAAAATCATGAAGGGAAAGTGAGATAGTTGGTCCTTAACTTATTTTTCATCATTTAAACCACATCTTAGCAGAGTGTGTCTCAGTGTGTGGACAGCACAAGCCACTTCGCCTTCCCTAATGATTCATAAGTTAAAGGATGCTAGTAGAACCACACGTTGTTTTCTACCCAGAAATTGCATACATACTGTGTGTAATACTTATTTCCTCATGAAGGACGCCAGGCTAACAGGAATGCAGTATAACTGGTTTAGGATTTATGAAAGAAAAGAAAAGAAAAAGAAAAATCAAACCTGTTTGCTTTCCTATAAACCAAAAGCTACTTGATCAAATGCTTAAACTTACCAAACCATTGTGAAAGAACCTGAGGCTGGGTTCACTATGAACTGAGTAGCTGAGATAGGCCTGAAGAAATATATTCACAGTAATTCCTTGCTTATAAATACTTGTCAGTTCATTCCATTTGCAGCTGAGATTCCTCCAGCCCCTTCCCTAGAATGGGAATCCCTTATGCAGCTGGAAGTAACCACAGATTTTCTTGAACTCATGTTTTTTTGAATTGAAGATATTACTCTCATGTGTTATGCTAACTTCTGATGCTGCTTCACCATTTGGTGAAAAGAAACAGTTACTATTTGGAACTTGCCATCAGTATCAGGGCTGGTTTACAGAGGATATAAGGCAGCATTTCTATCTGACATCAGAAAATTGTACATTAGATAAAAGGTTCATGTTCTATACAGGAAACAGAGCTCCTGCAAACACCTGAGAGCCCCATGGGAGTTTATCATTGCAGAGAACAAGCAAGCACGTAATCTGAAGTTCAAGGTTACAGAACATGTACCTGTCCTTACTCTAAGTAATAAAAAATGAGAGAAACGCTGATCTATTGTGACCCGTTCATCTCTACTGGGACCCTTGGAGTCCTCCAGGATGTAAAACACTGTAAACTTCACTCAAGAGAATATGCTCCAGGTACTAATTTCCCTGAAATCACCTATACCTGAGAATATGCACACACCTCTTTATGAACAATTTTAATTTCACAATGAAATCAATATTCTTTCAGTACAAACAGATCACTGTGATGACCTGATTTTTGCCTTTACTTACTATGAACACAGCAGCACACAATGTCTAGAGGTGCAGAAGCATGGCTTAGTCCATGTGAAAGCTTCTAAAGGCTGCATCAGCATTTCTTACTTGAAAGAAAAATTGTAACAATGGATTTCATCTATCATCTTAAAAGAGAAACAACATCCATGTACTGTGCATTGCATAAAGAAGATAGGACATGGCAGTGTATGTGGCTCAGAAGTTTTGTGTTTATTTTTAAACTGATATGTTAAGTACTGAAAATTAATTAATTTCAGCACAAGCCTAATCAATCAAAGAGGAAAAGGGAACAGTTTTGCCTTGGTTTGACCCAATCTGTACCCTAATTTTCACCAGTTTTGATGCAAAGGAGGCAGAGGGAAACCATGG